AAGAAAGCCTGGCAGTGTTCCTGATTTGCTTTTGGGATTCTTGAGCTGTCATATAAGAATATGTTAGCTAGACCATGTGGAAAGGCCATGTGGAGAGGGAGACACCTTGAGACTCCATGAAGGAGAACCAAGGAACCCGATCCCCTGTGGGAACTGAGGTTTCAGGCACAGGACCCCAGTCAAGTCACTTCAGGTACGTCCCACACCCATCCTTTGAGCCATGACTGACCCACAAGATGTGTAAGTAAAGAGGCCATTTTGTATGTCCCAGTTCCCTAAGATATGAGGAGTAAAGATAAGCATACAGCATTGTAAAAAACCACATAAATGATTGTTTTAAGCTACTAAATTTTTGGAGGGGATGCTTGTTTTTACATAGCAACAGGTTACTAAAACGATGATTTTTATCTAGAAGTAGGCATTGTTATAAATTCAATCTGAATCTATGGCCTTGGTTTTGGGACTAAGCATGAGTGCTTTCCAGAAGGGTCTCGAGATTATTCACAGAGGCTAAAAATGACAGTGGAAAAATTGTACTGGAAGCTGGAGAAAAGGTGACCCGAATTATGTAGCAGCAGTAAGAAGCACTGCAGCAATGTTGGGAAAAATACATGTATCTAATGTACTTGTTGATTTTCTTGAGGAGATTATCAGACAGAATGCTGAAAGGACAAGATTTGCCTTTAACTGTGCCTAATGAGGTACAAATAGAAAGACAAGAATTAAAGATGGAACTGTTCAGTTTTAAAGCAGAATTAAGAGGAAACATTTCCAATCTAGGATATATTGAGTTTTTGAAAAAAGAGTATCCTGTTCCCAGCCTCTCCACCCTAAAAAAGATTCACAAAGTAAATTAAAACATGGAGGCAGATATTGATTCCATGGCACTGCCAGGGAAACATGGCCTGGAAGGTCAAGATCAGATCAAGGACAGGGCTATATGACCCTTTATGGAAACCTCAGTAAGATTTAAGTTTGATTTCTATAGATCATCTGAGCTAGACAGTAGGGTTTTAGAGAGCCTCAAGGGCTTATTTCTTTTATGCCCTCTGCAACACAAAATCATTTACAAGAGTATTAATGCCATTTTCTCATAGCACTCTGTCAGCTCAAGGTAGAGAGGCATTTATGTGGGGATATTTTTGTGGGTTGACATTTTAAATAAACTGAATCATAAGTTGATATGTAGGAACCCTACAACAATTTAAATGAATTACCTCCACTTAGACTAAAAGGTATAGGCATGGTTTAGATAAAAAACAATTTCTGAGGCCCTAAACGCCTATGGTCAAGGGAGCACTTGGAGAAAGCCACAAGCACAAACGTAAAGCATTTATAAGAAAAATAATGACTCAAACAATGAAGTCAAGTTTTCAGAGGGCAGATTCAGAAGCCAAAGAGATCTACTTCATGGAGCAAAACTGAGACCAAATCCAAAAAACATTCCTTAATTTTGGAGTTGGAGGATTTCAAAATTGCTATGGAGCAGTGATTTTAGGTGCCTCCTCAACCCCTCTCCCATTTACAAATAGGAGTATCTACTGCAGTTATCCTGTTCCTTTCTTGTTGTAGCATGTTGGGGTGTAAGTTATATAACACTTTTCTTCTTAGTTCACAGGTCCTTGTTTTTGAGGAGCCATACCAGAGTAGCTACACACAAGGGGCCACATATTAAGAACACTATCTGCAACTGTACCTCAGATTTAGACCATGAGCTCTAAGGCTGGTTTTGAGCTGATGCTTTGGCCGTGATAGGATGACACTGGAGGATCTTGGGAAGGAAGGAGCCCATTCTGCATGTAAAAAAATGTAGACTTTTGTGATTAGAGAGCAGACTGTAATACATCTCAAAAGTTGACTCTTAACAATTTCTGTCCTCTCACTTTGCACAAGTTATTCTTCACATCAAGAGCTGGAGGTTATTTCTCCTCCTCTTGAATCCTGACTGATCTTTTCACTGATTCTAACCAGTAGAATATGGTGGAAGTGATTTTCTGGAGCCAGCCACTTCCACTTCCCTGTCTTGGAACTCCACTGCAGGGCTGTGAATAAGCCCAGGTGATATGGAACAAGCAGACAGGTCCCATCTGAGCATCCAGCCATAAGCCACCATGTATCAGTCAGCTTTCCTATTGCTGGAACAAAATACCAAAAACCCACAGCTTAAAGAAGAAGAGGTTTAATTTGGCTCACAGTTTTGAGTAACTCAGTCCATATAAATTTTATATAATAGAGTTAGATCTTCAGATAGCTGAGAGAGCAGAACAGGGTAGACCAGAGAAGAAGGGAACAAAGGCAGGGAAAGTTGGCAGGAAGCCATTGTAGCTGAGATGATAATGGGACTAGGGCTCAAAAAAAGAGAGCAGGTCCTTGGTTTTTATGATGATAGAACTTGATAATTGATGAATTATGAGAAAGGAGAGGGAGAGGGAGGGAGAGAGAGAGAGAGAGCGAGAGAGAGACTGAGAAGAAGGAGGAGGAGGAGAAAGAGGAGGAGGAGAAGACAAGAATAGGGAAGATAAAAATGAAGAAAGAAAAACAAATAGACTCTTCTGAGAGTTTAATATATGGTAGCCTTGTTAACATATTTCTGTCTTCAGGTGAGTAAACAGACCCAGAGGTGTTAAACATCATCCAAAGCCACAGAACCGCTAGTCAGTGGTTGAAACAAATTTCAAGCACAGTCCTGTTAGACTCCAAAGCCCTGCTTTCTCATCCACATCAGGTTCTCCAAGACAAAACTCCAAGTTCTTGTACAGGCAAGATAGTATTAATGCCAGCTATAAAGAAGAGAAAGGGAAAAGAGCTAGTTTTGACAGGAAAAGGGCAGCCCAGAGGTGTGTGTAAGATCAGAAATGAGAGATGGGAGGGCCCGGCCATCTTCCTTGGTGTCTCTTGGCCGGGGGCACACCTGGCAGGCTCTCGGCATCCAGGCTCAGACTGACTTGAGTGGCAGCAGTTAGGACCTTTCCTCCCTGTGGGGAGCACTCAGTAAATGGCCAGTATTATCATGACTTCATGATGGTGGCTCCTATGATCATGCACTGAGCAGAACTCAGCAACTTTCTTCAAGAGTCTTCAGTGCAGCCCTCTCCAGAGATAGGACTGTGACATAAAATAATTTCTGGTGGTCTCTTCCAACTCAATGGCTCTGTATTTCTCCCACCTTAATATGAGACTGGTAAATAAGAACTATCTTGAAATTTTAAATTCTAGCCCAGAGTGTATCATTATACTTCCAAATTTTATTGAGAAAATATTTGAACCAAACAGAGACTTTCATTTTGTTGACTTAAAAGAAAAGTTCATTTATATTCATCCAACAAATATTCATTTATCATTTGCTCACAGAAATAGTCCTATGCTAGGTGCTATCGTAAATGTGAGTAAAGTACAAATGTCTGTCCCCAGGGTGTTTGTAATCTGTTATTGGGCTGGGGTGGGGGAGATGGAAGAAGAGCCTACCTGTGAATACAAGCAGAGTGGGTAACTAACAAAAGTCAACTTTTCTGACTTACTTCAAAGCAGTTTATGGTTAAGTCTTAGGCAGTATAGATATGGAAGGTTAGACACACATGCATGCATGCTCACACATGCACAGAAGGGGGGGAGAAAGAGAGAGAGAGAGAGAGAGAGAGAGAGAGAGAGAGAGAGAGAGAGGAATGAGCTTGAAGCTGACCCTGAGATTAGTTAGGATTTGGACAGCCAGACATGAGGCCAAGTCAGGAGGGAGAAGAGAGAGAAAATCCAGGTAGATCAAGGAGGTAAAGGTACTATAGGTTTGTGTCACAAGAGTGAGGGTCAGCCTGAGGCAAGCAGGGTCCTGCCAAGGTGCATCCTTGAAAGTCTAAGGTAGAAAGGTGAACGGAGAGCTCCAGGTCGGTCACAAGACCAACAGACGTGTAAAAGTGTCCTCACACAGCCACCCAGACCAGGACCGTCCTTGCCTTCTCACAGTCATGCTGGGTGCCATCAAAGAAACATGCTCATCAATTCCTCACTACCCACTGCCACCGACATTGATCACCAATCCAGCTCTCTACATTTGTGAAGCCCTTTACCATTACTGAAACATCTCCTCTTCACTCCCTCTCCCAAAGCTATGAAGCCTTCCTAGGGTGTTGCCAAGGTGGGGAGCAGAGGCAATTGGTTCTGAGGTCAGCCTAGGCAGGGTTGAGAGGCTGTCCTGTTTCTCCCCACAGCCCCTTGGCTTCTAATCCCCATCTTCAGTGATTTGCATGTGTTCTACTTATTTGGGCTGTAAACTCCCACTTGGGGCCTGGGGTGCACTCCCTACTTTGGATAGTGCTTGGCAGGCCAAAAATGGGGCCTAGGGAAAGGTTTCCTGGATACCGAAGAGCACGTAGAAGATTTATACGTAAATGAGTCGGAAATATGGAGATTAAGTTTTCGCTGAGATGCACATGAATTAAGGAGAAAAGTGTTTGAGGCAATTTCAAAAGAAAAGCCATGAAACTTAAAGCATATGGAAAATAATCCAAGATATTGGAGAAGTCTCTAAGCGGCTGGGGTTTGGCTTACAGAGTCCTTGGAGCCCCTCCCCAATTTCACAAAAATCTCATCATTTGAAGAAATTAACATGACTCTAGAGACAGGGTCCATCTCTCCAGGTTTGACTGGCTTATCCCCAATCTAATTGTTGGGATTTTATTTTTTTTTTTTACCTTGTTCTGCGGTTCATGTCTAAATACTCGAAGATGTTTATATTGCATACATTCAGCTTTAATTGGCCCTTAAAAGAAGGTGTTGATTAGAATCTGCTCAACATCAACAGCTAGCTCACACAACATTCTGTAATTACTGTTTATTAATTTAGTTCAAGTGGCATAGTTGAAAGCCCTGTTCAGATGGGAGAAGTAAATTGTCACTGGTATTGAATATGTAAATTATGTGCATTGTAAATTTCCATGAAGAAATGTTTAAAGTTAAATGCTGTGCACATAAACCCTTCTGGTTTTATCTAACCCAGCCCTGGGAGTGGAAGCAGGTCTCCACTCAGAAAGCACATGGTGCTGTAACCTGGCAGGGCCGTGCCTCCGAACCACAGCATGCATCTTACCTAGAGTTTGCAAAATGAGATTTTGTCATGTGTGTTCCCTTTTTCATGAAACAAGGCACCACTAATGTGCTCTCTTTATCCTTGTTCACAGAGCCCTTCTGTGGAGTTCCCTGGCAGATTTTCCAAGGCTGTGTGGCAACCCAGCAAATCCCCTACTGCCCCAGGAAGTATCTGGATGCTGCTCGGTGGCATGTCGAAAACAACAGGAACCGAAGATGACTTTTCTTCAGCAATCGCTGAAATAAGCTACTGTGAGTATGCTTTTTCCTCCCTCCCCCTAGAGTACCAAAGAAGATGCCGAAATAGAAGCAAGTGCTTCTGGGATTGTTTCTGGGAGTCCAGACTCTCTGATCTCTGGAAGCTGTCTTAAAGGCTCTTCAGCTCTTCCTGGGAGAGGATGTGGCCTAATCAGGTTGGTATAACTTTATTCTATCAAAGATTCTTGTTGTATTTAGGATGAATTAAGTGAAATTTTCCTTTAGACATCAGACAAAACCCTTTCCTCTTTTTCTGTAGAATCATGCTTTAGGCAAGTGACCTAATCCATCTGCTCCTTGGATTCTTTATCCATAAAGTGGAGAAAATAATAGCACATACTTCATGTACTGGATGCCAAGATTAATTGGGATAATACCTGTAAAGTGTTTAAAACAGAGCCAGCCCATAATGGAGGGGCAATAACTGTTAACCATTATCTATTTGTAGAAGCTTACATAGATATAATTGGATTCCTTTTTAAGACCTTTCTGATTGTTTGGAAGAATCATCAATTCACAACTAGCCAGAAGAGATAGTTTTTAAAATTAGGCATGAACATCAATGGTTTTTAGTAAGCGTGAAAATTCAATGTATTTTTTTCCTAGAGGTTGAAAAGAGTAGTTGAGGCAAAGAGTACATCTGGCTCCTATGTCAGTGAAGCCCACACTCACCCATTTGGGGGGCTTTCTGTCTTTGTACAAGTTTTTCAGCCCAGATGTTGGATGTTTTCAATTTTGCAGAATCTCACTATAAATGAACTGAAAAAAAAATTGGCCCAACTGTTACTGGGACTAATTATGATGGTTCCAAGGAGAATGTGCACGCTTTCACTTTTCCTTTATGAAGTGTTCCTGAAGAAAGTCTTTTGAATGAAATAACCCTTTTGGATGAAAGCTGACATTTTCAGAAGTAATAATAATACTGCTTCAGATCCACAGAGAAGAAGTAATGGAAATGCCAAGTGCTTCATAGATGCTGGCTTGTTCACTTACCTTACTCTCCTGTGTGACAGGTGACAAGAATTATTCTTCCTGTTTTACAGATGCAGAAACTGAGGCTCTGAGAAATAAAAGCATGAAGTACAAAAGTTCTAGAGCAAATCAGCGATAGAACTGGGAAGGCTGGGGCCTTATAACATGCTTAGGTGCTATCTGCTAGGGACAGTGTGGCTAGGAACCCATTGCCGGGGACATTCCCTCTAATGAGAGCTCCACTCACCCAGATGAGCCTGGTTTTATGCATCAGCTGTGTTTCAGTTAAGTTATCTTGTTCATTGCTGTAAAATGAGTCCCCTTTCTCTACTAACTTCTATGGAAAAATTAGAGACATGGCCCCAAGATTGTTCCATGGGTAGAGTTGAACATTTTGGATATGAGAGTCCTGAATGTTCTTGCCTGGGCTCAAGCATTCTTCAGTTCTTCACTTTTTACCCTACTTCCTTCTGACTTTACCTAACCCAGCCCTGGGAGTGGAAGCAGGTCTTCCTGCCCCAGTAGTGTTTTGAGAACTTGGGGGTGATGTGGTGCAAATCTGTGTGGGCATTTGAATTGCTTTCTCATCTTTGGGCTCACTCCACACAATCTTTCCTCAGGTCCTGGGACATTCTGTTCAGTCAGAGCCGATTGTTGATACTAGTGGAGTATGGTTTTGCATCTTCCTTGGGTGATTCTAATCCATATTCTTACAGATTGCAAATAAGTGTCATCATTTTACACATGACCTAATTTCTTAAGTGTTTTTATTAATTTAATTGCCTATTAATGTCTTCATTGCATGTTGGGCACAGACAGGGACTGAGAGGCCAGAAGAGGTAAACAGAGAAGTGAACAAATAGTCTGCTCTCACAGAAGTGGGAGCTCTCTGGAGGAGGCAGAAGCAAAGAAACCATAATCTTCCAGGAGATGCGCTTTAATGAAGGAATGATGCTTTAATGAAGAAAGTTTAAAAAGAAAAACAGTGTTGGAAGGAATGATGTATAGTAGGGGCATCTACCTAACCCTGTTCTGTGAGGGAGCCAGGGAAAGAATAAAGGAATGAACAGGACGTAACCAGGTGAAAAGTAGGCTAGAGTGTATGCCAAGGTCTGAAACCTTGAGAGAGCTTGGCCTGTAGGGAGCAGCATGCAGTGAGCAGTACTGTAGAGCTCCTGCACATTATGCACACTGGAACTGACTGGAGATAGAGGTGGAGGTGGGTGGAAGCCAGGCTCTTTTGTGCTAAGGAATGTTTAGATATTTCTTTGAAGGCCACAAAGTATTATTGAAAGCTGCTGTGATAGGAATTTAGGCCTGACCAACTGTAAAGTTTCCAGTTCTACAGAACCAATGGGTTCTCTCCTTTGGCACTGAAGCAAATCTTCTGTATACCTAGAAGTCTGTTAGTTAGGGTTTTCCAGAGAACAGAAACCAGGAGATCTATCTGTCTGCCTGTCTATCTATCTATCTATCTATCTATCTATCTATCTATCTATCTATCTATCTATCTATCACCTATCTATATCTATCTATATCTACCCACCATCTACTGATTACCTTCAAGAAATTAACTAATGAGATTATGGAAGCTGGTAAGTCCAAAATCACCAAGGTAGGATAGCAGGCTGAAGAGCTCAACCTCAAAGGCCATCTGCCAGCAGAATGCCTTCTTCCTGGGGGATTAGGGTGGGGGCACTGTGTATGCCAGTCTGCTGGTTTTTGTCAGGCCTTCAATTGACTAACTAAGGACCAATCTGCTTCACGCAAAGTCCACCAGTTTAAATGTTAATCTTATCCAAATACACACAGAAACATTCTGAATGTTTTACCACGTGCCTGGTAATAATGTTTTATTATATATCTCGATACATGAAATAATTCAACACAAAGGAAATATATATATATATATATTTTGTAAATATTATACACACACACAGTGTGGTATTTCCTACACTCTTGTCTGTTATCCACAGAACTACTCCATCACTTATGCATTCTATTAAAAAATTATTAGTTGAGTGCCTACTATGTGCCAAGCAAGACAGACAGTGTCATGGAAGATGGTGACCTCCTGTTTTTTTGTGGTTTTTTTCCCCATTAAGTTTATTGGTACATTTTAGGTATACAATAGTTACATTCATCATTGGGATCTTGTACCATTACATGAGTATCTTGGTTCTTATTGTTTTCCCCTTCCCATGCCCTCCCTTTACCCCCTCCACCCTTCCCTATTTGCAAAGACTTAGTTTCCATTTTTTTCCTTTTCTCATATTTTTTCTTTTCCCTTTTT